ACGTATATTAACACCTCAATAGATAAACTCTGAAAAGATCAGAAATTCCATCACTAACACGCTAATATTTTTGAAATCTATTCGTTACATTTGACACATTATCGAAAGATTCTTACATAAAGTTACAATAATTGAACATTTTAAAACCAAAATGTTCAGTGTTTTTGTCGGAAATATTTACGTTATTGAGGAAATAAAAAAATTACGATATTGAGAAGCAATCACGGGGGTTGGCGAGCGAGTTTTCCTTTTGAAAAAAATATCTATCACACGGATAACGCATTGTTAATAAATGCTCACAAGTGTTTTCTTTCTTATTAGTTCATAAGTTATTTCTTTCGAGAAATAGTGAAATATTTACTCACCTTAATATCAATGATCCAAAGTTCCAATCTATTGAACACGATATCGGCGATTTAACGCCATATGAATTTGCAAAATGAGTAGCGTAGTTGAGAATTCTGTATTTCATCCTGGCCCACATCACAGTTCAAATGATACTACCTTCAAAAGAACACCGCCAATAGCTTCGCGGTGCTTGAAAAGACTCTTGTCAAAATAGAAATCTGTGTGTGCCCCTATTTTGACTGCTCACCCCTTTTAGCGATCAAAAAAATGCCGCTTTTTGAAGATTTTTTCCTTTTCTAGTTTAAAAGGTTGTGAGAACATATTTTAAATTTTAATTCAAAGGTTTCCTCCGAAAATTTAAAGGTATTGGGAATTTATTTTTATGTGCTTTTATTAAGATTTCAATAAGTTAAAAGGGCTTGCGTTGTAATTTAGATGCAGCGGGAAGAAATAGACTTTCATCTAATAATCTTATTTTAATTAATAAATTTAGAATAAAGCTTGTATAATTTTTTAAACAAAATTTTGGGAAGAAGTGGCTTTTAAATTAATAATTTTAAAATTTTACTCATTTTTTTTATCGTTTAATATAGTTGATAAAGCTTAGTTAATAAAGCTTTCTTTTCTTTAATAAAAAAAAAACGTACTGTGGAAAAGTAGATAAATAATCAGGAATAATACAAAGAAAGATAACTAAATAATTCCGAGATGAATCTTTTAACTTATACTGAACTAAAAGAGTTATAAAACAGTTTACGCTTCTTCTTTTATTTTATTTTTCAGAAGTAATTTTATTTGATTGTAAACAAGAAACAGTTACATTTATTCGTTTATGTATATGGGCGTGGTAACATTAATTATTCTATTTTACAATTCCTTTCAAGTCCCCCACTTGTACTATTTTAAAATCAGTCACTCTTATCCAACTATTCTAAAACGGTAACATTATTGCAAGATAATTATAGTTATAATACTTACGTGGGTTAGTTATTCCTTGTTATAAATGATTATGAAGATTATTGCACTTTTTAGCGCGATAAGAGATGGAGAAGCTAAAAAAAAAGAAATACTTCAAACGCTCTCACATCCGGAGATTCATGCATCCCAGACGAGCGAACAGAGGCGCCTCTGTTTGAAACTTTTTTTTCTTTTCTTTTTTTACCACGTTTCTCCCGCTTGCAGTAATTGATAATCATGACTGCCTGTGTCTTGTTTTAATACCGCTTGTGTTTTTTCGCTTTCTCTGTACCGTTCGCATCTCATCAATTGAAAAGTCTGGGGCTGAATGAACTGAGATGCTTATGATGTCACTCTCGCTCTTCCCCCCTTTTTATTCCGTTCTTCTGCTTTTCTCTTTCACCACTTTGAAAATCTTTCGCCAATGAACTTGTCTTGATGGATAATTATTTCTCGCTAAAGAATAATATTGCCGAGAAACTGTTCGAATAAAGAGAAACAGTTAATCGAGTTTTAAGTTGCGTTTTTGTGAAGTGTATCATAGAAATCGGTCTGTCTTCTAAAAATGCAGGGTGGGGGGGATGGTTATAATAAACCTAACGTTATCAAGGGCTAGTAATAAAATAACGTTATTAACTTTGTGATATTTTGTGAATTTTATAATAGCTTTTCCTGTACGAACTTAGTCAACGCACAATGTAACATGTATTTTCATTTATAAAGGTGAAAATTTTGTTAACAATCTTTTAATATTAATAAGTGAAATATAAAGTTTGTTTTATTATGTGACTTGTGATATTTTATTACTATGTCCTCTTAATTCGAAAATATAATTGCATCGAAATTAAATTTCCGTTTTTACCCAGGTTCCATCTTACATTCTTGCTTTTTAATTTCATAAAACATTGGGTCATCTCCGAGGTGACGCAGTGATCTTACAACTTCCACGCCTTTTGCGACAGATTTATTTTATAGCTATAGTTGATTAATTTATTTAAAATATGTGATACTGTTTACTTTGAGGCATTATAGCATAGTAGAATAATGGCCGGGATAGCCTGGTTGGCAGGGAGCTAGTCTCATGCTCGTGAGAATGGGAGTTCGAATCCAGCCGTTGAAGACTCCGCGTATAATAATTGGTGACTAGTGCACGTTAAATGTGTCTTGTTACAGAGTCCCCCATGGTCCCATAACAAATTAAACCTCTGGGGGTACTTAATTCGAGATTAATCGTTCTCTGTTTCAGGTCAAAATCACGATCTTCGGATGAATGAATGGGTATATAAATAAGTCAGCCCCGTGACGTATGGGTATGGCAGAAGTCGAATTATTGGTTATAGATGGCGCCACTTAAAAACAAGAACAATCGCACCCCTTGTCTTAATGGCTTACGGCACAGCAACAGTAGAATAATTCTGTTAGACTGTCGTCAAATAGACTGTTCAAACTATATACAAGAGCTCTACGCTCTTAAGGTTTATCTTGACAGATTAAAAAGATAAAAAAAAGATTTAAACATAGGATTCCAAAAGCATTTTATGTGCGAGAGAATGCTAAAAATGAACCGGAGTCCGGTTTATTTTTAGCATTCCTGTTACCGGACCACCTTGAATAACTTTTAATCTAATGATTTGATCTGCACGTTCTGGGACTCAATCTTGGTAGTCCAAGAGGGTGACCTCAAATATTTTAATTGAAGCAGACAATTTTTTTTAAGTTACGAAATCAAACACAAAAGCGTACTTTCTCTGAATAAACATACCTTATTTTCGAGGGAGAATTTCTGTCGCTCAAGGTATAAGGGGGTAGGAGCAATCTGTGAAATATGGCCCCAACAGGTTAGTCAGGAAAGCGGTTCAAAGCTTGGGCATTTGTTAAATCTAATTTTTGTGTATTTCGCCAAACCTCGTGAACTTTTTATGAGAACTGAAAATTATTTTCACACAGTTATAAAATTCGTTTATCCAAAGATAATTCCACGCAAGAAATAACTTTCAGTAATTATTATTATTTTTTTAATAATAGTCGGAAAAAAATTTAATTTGTAATGTATGCAATTTTTTATACATAATTTAAAAAAAGCAATCTTACGTGGCAAAATATAAAATTTGTGGAAAATCGGTCAAATAGCTCTTGGGAAATTAAATTTTAAAAACAAGACTCTTTAAAATTTAATGAAAGTTTATCGTGATGTAACCTCTTTTATGTTTTAGGTCTATGAAAAATAAATTTAATTCTCCTCTTTAGTCTCCTTAAAAATTATGGATTTTTTTTTTTAATTTATTATTTTATTTTTAGTTCTATGTCTGTTATTGCATTTATGTCGGAAAGTGATTTACAATTTGATGGCGATAAATTTTCACTTGTACCATTTAAGAAACTATCGTAACTTGCATTGGCATCAAACATGGAGCTTCAATTTTAGTTTAAGCACTCGGGCTAGTCGGAAAGTGGCTAAAATTGTAATTGGCGATAAATGTTCGAATTGTCAATTATCGAAATAACATCGTAGGTAAACGAACGGAATTGTTAAAATCTCTAGGAAAAGCATCGCAATTATTTAAATTTTTTTTTTTTATTTGCGATTGAATGAGCGCTTATAAAGCACAAAAATAAGTAATTATTTAAATGCGTGATTTAAAATTCGCATGTCGTAATAAAAATCTAAAATTTTTGAAACCACGCGGGAGTGCATCGCAAATACTACCGAAAAATTGATAGAAAAATAATTAAATTTGGATTTACAATGAAATCGTTAGAAACAAAGCGCTTCAAACAGTAATTATTTAAATCTGCAATTTGAAATTCGCTAGTCGTAATAATATCGTAGTAAATGAACGGGATTTTCAAAATCACGTGGAAACTTGTAGCAATTACTGCCTTTAAAAAAAGAGAGAAAAAAATTATTATTCAGATTTACCATACAATCGGCGCATTTAAAGCTAGTCGAAAAGTGAGTACTCAAATCACTCGAAATTCGCGCCTCGTTATATCGTATTGAGAATTTTTTATTTATTTATTTTTTTTTTATCTAGGCAGAATTTCGTAGCAATAACAGTTGAAAAAGCATTCAAGAAACACCACAGAGTTAGAATGTAATCACTTAATTTGTTAAGCTTGATTGTGCAAATTAAGTGAATCAAAAAGTGATGGCTCAAATGTACAATTAAAAATTTTCAGCATATTTTTTTATCATTTAAAATAAAATAAAAAATCATCTTATTCAGTAGCTCTTTTGGGTCGCACATCAACAGTCGGTGGGCCGCTAGTTGTACATCCCTATATATATATATCGCTTAACGGTGGGCCACAGCATAAAATGAGTTGCTGTTTTATGACATGAATACTTAACATTAAAAAATTGCATTAAAAAAATCTTTTAAAGACGTATTTCAGAGAGTTTTTATTTATTTATTTATTTTTTCTGGAAATTAACTTAAGAAATACTTTAGACAACTCAAAATTTAGATAGAACGGCGCAAATCGAAAAAATTCCAGCAACATTCAGGTATATTTTTCTGAAATAGGCGCATACGATCAATGCATTCGAAAGATAAGGAAAATATTTTAAATATGGTAATATTTAAGAATGATGAATATTTAAGGATGAAAATTCTATTTGGAAAAAAAAAATTTTCTTGTAATGTAATTTATTATTTTCTTTCTTTCTTATGTTCTAAAAAAATTTCTATCTTAACTTTTTCTTTTTCTTCTGCAGTGCCATGAGAATTTTAATTTCCAAGCTCCCTCGTGCATGGGTTGTTGATGAAAAGAAAGATGACGGTTATACAGCATTGCATTTAGCTGCTTTAAATAATCATGTTGAAGTAGCAGAATTATTAGTGCAACAGGTTAGTAATAGTCATTTTTTTAAATCACAAACTAATCTTACTTTATCATTGAACTATTTGAAATTATTAATTATGAATCTAAATTATTTAAACTACTTATTACTAACACTAAATTACTTATTTTGCAGGGTCGAGCTAATATGAATTTGCAAAATGTAAATTTGCAAACACCTTTGCATTTAGCTGTTGAACGCCAACACACTCAAATAGTTAGGGTAAGTTATAGTTTATTTAATTAAAAAGTAAGTTTTTTTTAATGTCTATTAAATAGTTGTCTTATACATCCATAAATTTTTCCTCTAAAAAGGATTACCTATGTTTATGTAACCTATTTCTAATTTTGGCAATGCAAAATGTTCAAGACTACATTCATAAAGATTTGCTATGAGAAATTTAGAGAAAAACGTGTTTAAAGGTTGTGTTTTCACATAAAATTTTGGATACTAAAGAGATTTCATTCACATAATGTTATTTTATGTTTGTTATAAACCATGGGTGCTAGTCTTACATCCCCAGGACGGATTTCCGTCTTTCGAAAATGTCCGTGGACGGAAGTAAGACGGAAACAAGACTGAATCGAAGATGGAAATCGGAATTTTTTTTATTCTGTCCTCAAAAATATTTTTTTGGTCTACTTTCTTATGTCCTGTTGTTATTTTATCAAAAGACAGATGAATAAATATTTTTTGTACAGTATTTAAACTTGATGTATTATGGTAAAGCTTTCTTAGATAGTTTGCATATGTCGAGGGGGTATTGTGCATGTTAGGTATTTCAATCAAAAAATTTTCAGTCTTGACCTTTTTTCCAACTTTCCACCCATGTTATAAACATAATTTCATTCAAAAACAATTTTGATTATTAATCTTTTTTACTATAATCACAATTAAATAAGTGCGTTTATAATTTATGGACTTTGAAATCATTTAGCTGCAAGAGTAACACTAAAATCTAATCTTAGATTTTAAATCTAATTATAATTTAATCTATGCATCTGAAAATCTATTTTAATTAGTGGTTATTGTGGAATTTTTTTTTATTAAAAGTAATTTGTGAAATATTGATTTAACCATTATTTTATAACTTTTACTCGTTGATGTAAGTTATTCAAATGAATATAAAATGCTTTTATTGTTGAATATTTGTAGCTTCTAGTTCGAGAGAAATGCAATTTGAATATTCCGGATAAAGACGGTGATACTCCATTGCATGAAGCATTGCGTCACCATACCCTTTCTCAGCTCCGTCAGCTTCAAGACATGCAAGAAGGAGGCAAGGTTGGAGTTAGTAATGAAAGTACCATTAGTGGAACTTCAGAAGTAATAAAAATATTCTTCCTATTGAAATACTTTTTTTATCACAGCTAAATGTACAGTACTTGTAGCTATTATTAAAAATCTAGATTTATGAATTTTATGTTAATATTTTGACCTATATTTAAATAATAAGCTGCAATTATAAAAATGCCAATTCTATATAATGTTTTATTATTCCTTTTAAAGCTTTTTGATTTTTAAAAAATCGAAAATAATTTTATTCATGATTTAAATATTAATAAATCTATAGCTTTTTTTTTTTTTAACAAAAAGTGGGAAATGAAGAAAATGTTATTAAAAGCCATTCTACAAAGCATGTCAAGTAAGATATTTTTTAGAAAATTTTCACATAAAGCTAAAAGCTTATATAAATTAGACGAAAAAACTTTTTTTATACTGATGCTGAGCAAACACTTGATATGATAACATTTTTTCTTTTTTTTTTTTGAAAAGTGCAGTTATAGAAGATTGTGTGTCTTGCTTACTAAAATTTTTTGTTCGATAATACAGTAGAACCATGCTGATCTGAGCTTGCTGATTCAAAAGCTGTGTTATATGAATTTTAAATGTTAACAAAAAAAAAAAAAATTTTTTTTTTGTGTTTAAAATTACAAAAAAATTTTACAAATTTATAAAACTTTTTACTGTTGTTTAATAAAATTCATATTGATATCTTTACAATCTTATTTTAAGATGCATGTGAAACATGGCATCAAACCATTACATTTTTCAATCTATCTTAAGTCATACTCCTAGAATTTTATGAACATATCTGAAAAGCTGTGTAGTCTGAAACAGTTGCACAAATTATAGCCAAATGTGTCCTTAAGTTGCAACACTTATGTTGTCTCCCTTAAATGTTGTTCAATTTATTCAAGTGCCATACAAATTACAAATCTTGCATTTAAATTGTACTCTTCTTTTTTTTTCCTTCTTTTTTTGCATTTGAATTACACTCTTTTTTTTTTGGTATTGTGATTAAAATTTATGTGATATGCGTTTTTCATTTAATTATTTATTTAATAATTTTCATTCGTATATTTAAAAAAAATATTCTCGTCAAAAGTTAATGTTTTTTCCCCCTTCCTTTTAGCTTTTAATGGGTCTGGCAAACAGTTCTGACAAAAAAAGCAATGCTTCTATTGCTTGTTTCCTTGTTTCAAATGGTGCTGATCTAAATATCAAAAACAAAAAAGGACAAACTCCTTTAGATTTATGTCCTGATCCAAACCTGTGTAAAGCTTTGACAAAATGCCATAAGGAGCAATCCAAGTAATTTCTTTTACCTTTATATTAGCTTTCATTTTTAGAACATCATAATGAGTTTAATTTAGGCTTGAGATTTTTTAAGTTTAACTTATCAAATTTTCATTTATTGATGTTAAATAGAACAGTTCATTTATAAAATAGTTTCTCTGGAGTATCTGATTTTAAAGCATCAGTTTAATTAACTGCTACTGAGAAATGGATTTTTTTTCTACTCCATTCTTTTCGAAATTTTAATGCTGCCAAAATATGTTTAAAAAAATAATTGTTTAGTTTAACTATTTTGTAATAAACCTAACTTGTGAAATCCTGTAGAATGTATCTCACTTTAAGTTTTTATGTATTTATTTATTTTTCTGTAGAGAGTATCTTGATTAGTAATTGGCTTATTATAGTTACCTGATTTTTAACTAATTAGTTATAGTTACCTGATTTTACATCTAACCTCCACTTTTGCATGCAAAATAAGTAGCATCTATTAGCTAACTAAGCTTCAAATAAATTATATCAGTTTGTGTTAAAGCTCTTCAAAAATTTCTTTTTGTTATCAATTAATGTTTTTAGTTCTTTATCCATAAAGTATTATTGTTCCTGTGAGCCAATGAAGTTCCTGTGTTTGAACTTTTTGTTATCCATTTACCTTATTTTGTTTTGTCTTATACCTATGACTTAATTTTGCATTGAAATTCATATTTTTAAATGTTATAAGATTGATGCAGTTTGGTTATTTTATTTCATAGAATTTATAATGTGCTGCAAAAAAAATGTTTTTAAATTTTTTTTAATTATTTTTTTTTTTAAAAGAACACTATTTGAACGAATTAAAATTCGTTTAATTTTTTATTTTATTAAAAGATATTCATCACATGTTAAACAGTAATTTCTATTCTGTAATGTATAATCAGAAACTAAGTGATAATTATAAAATTTTTACACCTTAAAATTACATCAATCATCTTAAAATAATACTAGTATTTTAAAAAGTAAAAATTACCCTTTATTACTGTTGTGTAATTTCTAAAGCTTTTTATCAATAAATTTTGTTGCTCTATTAATTTTCTGTAAGTCTGTTTCTGTTTGAAATAAGTTACCATTTTGAAAAACTAAGCAAATTCAATAGAGGCACTAGTTCTTTTTTCACTTAAACGTTTTATTACTTTCATCTATTAAATCAGTGTAAAAGATCATGTGCAAAAAAAATCGTTATGTAGTGCTGTTGTTAATTGTACATTTTTTCATTGTAAAATACATTTCTATTTATTCAGTCATTCCAAGCAAATTTAAATAAAAACCACTTTTTTTATGTAGTGTTGAATGCATCACACAGTCCACAACTTCTGCCACTCAAGATAATGAAACTCTTGAAGAATGCATGGTTTGTTCTGATATGAAACGAGATACCTTGTTTGGTCCATGTGGTCATATTTCAACATGCTCCGTATGCTCGCCTAGAGTGAAAAAGTGCCTTATGTGTAAAGAACAAGTTCAATCACGAACAAAAGTAATTGGGACAAAATCTTATTTTATTATATAACATTACTTTCTTTGCACTATATGTCAGGAATGCTAGCCAAAATCTAATAAGAAATTGCTACATTTAAAAAAATTTCAAGATTTCCTTGAAAAAATTAGCTTTAACTTATGTATTTTTTAAACGATAAATCAACAGATTTTCAATTATTTACAGATTATTTTTTGCAGAGAAAATTAGCAGAAAATCTACAGAATAAATTCTACAAATTTTCTTCAAAATGCAGGAAAAATTTATCTGAATACCTTGAGATTTTCTTCAGAAATTTGTCTATATTACCTAAAAAAAGTTACTACAACAGCCAGTCACATTCCTTTGGTTATTTTTAAGAACCCAGCCATTGGAGGGTTGGTAGACTGGATTGCAGATAAATGCAAAATCTATTTTAACTTTTTTTAAATTGTGCCTCTCTCCTAAACCAGTAATTACCTACCTATTTGTTAAATAGTCACCAATACCAGTCACAAAGCTTCATGAGAAATTAGATTAATTATTTTTATTTTTACCTAAAACTTTTACTGAATTATCTACATTTTGGAGATGTGCAAATATTTTTCTGATTTTTATCCTCTCAGAGTAAGTAATTAAAAACTATGTAATTTTTTTAAAAACTTTTCTTCCTCTGACAGTAAGTAATTAAAAACTGCGTAATTATTTTTTAAATTTTTCGTCCTCTGAGAGTAAGTAATTAAAAACTACATAATTGTTTTTAAAACTTTACATTCTCTGAGAGTAAGTAATTAAAAACTGAGTAATTTGTTTTAAAAAAAAATTTCTTATTTGTTTTCTTTTGTTGAATCAAATTAATCAATATTATTATATTAAATAATATAATTTTAAACTAAGAATTATAAGCGTTATTTAAGATTTATAATAACTAAGTAACTAAATTTGTACATTTGTTTTATTTTTATAGATTGAAGAGTGTGTTGTTTGTTCAGATAAAAAAGCTTCAGTTCTCTTCAAACCCTGTGGTCATATGTGTGCTTGTGATGGTAATAATATTTTTTTATACCTGGTTATTATTTCTGGGTCTTTTAATTTGACATTTAAAATTTTCAAAGTTTAACTTGTGAATAGTGCAGTTCTAAGTGTATGAAATTCTAAGTTCTAATGTATTTTACTAGTATGCGATTCCAGAAATTTATTTAAAAATGTAAGAAGTAATGAAATAATTAGAACTAGTACTCTTTAAAAAAAATTTCAAGGTAAGTTATTTTTTTTAGCTGATATTTCTTTATTAAAGGAAATTAAAAAAAATATTTTAGAATATTTTTTTTATATTGTGTTTTTTCAGTAAAGCAGTTTTAAATATTTCATTTAAATTGAATTATCGTCATTAGTTATTATTAATTAGTTATGTTCGATAAGTTATTGCAACTTATCTTATTGTAGGAAACATAGTGTAGAAATGTAAACACTTTTAATTGAAAAACTGTAGAATAAATTTTTGCTTCATGTATTTGACAAAATTTCATGCAAATCCTCTTTTCCATATTTTCTACTGAAAGAAATTTGATAACTGTCTACATAATACTTTTACTCCAAAAGCTTTGGTTTACAATATTTAGTTATAAATAATAGGTTATTTAAGCTACTTGAATGTAATATTTTTTCACATGTATTATTTCATAATTACTTAAAGAACTGTGGAAGTTATAATGTGAGACAATTTTGTTTTTTGATGTATGAATAAGACAACTGTCTCTCCTTTTTTTTTGTGCTTAAAAGCTTCTCAGAAGCATGTTGTAAAACCTTTAAAAAATTGTCCTGGTTTACAGTACTGAATATCTTATTTATAATTATCTTATAATTATTTCCATACATTTTAATAATCTGTCAAAAATTCTTTCTTTTATATTTGTTTAAATAATTTCTATTGACTTGTCGCTTTACATATTACATTGATAGTTTAATTAACTTAAATTTTAAAATTTATTGCAGAACATAATTTACCAAGATATAAAATATTCTATCTGAGTAATACTGTTATTATTTTTCAGGCTGTGCTGCCTTAATGAAAAAGTGTGTTCAGTGTCGGGCACAAATTGATAAAGTTATCCCTTTTATTGTGTGCTGTGGTGGAACTGGTATAAATTTTAACTATTATTACTTCTATGCTTGTTTGTTTATTAAAGCTGAAAAAAATTATTTTAGTTAAATTTTGGTCACTGTCATCTTAATTTAAATAAGTAATACTATGTGCCTGGTTTATGTATTATAGTTATTTCATGATAAGACTGAAGACTATTATAGAGCTTATTTAGAAGTTTAATGTATGGTTTAATTAAACAGCAAACATGTATGCTTAAAAGCATATTTTAAAATAGGGCTAAATTGTAAAAAATATGGAAGTCAAAGTAATTTCATTGGTTATAGTAATATGTTTTGTATTTTAAAGCAAACCGAAAATCTAATGTTAGCCAATTTTTTACAAACTATTTTTAAATCTTCTGGGGTTTTTTCTTCTTTAGTGTAAAGTTAACTAGTGCTCTCTAATAGAAGATGAAACAGAGTTTTATGCACAGTTAATGTTATAATTTATTTGAAATCATTGTAAGGAAATAGTTTTTGTATTAAATTTTAATGTAAAAGTAAAATTTAATTGTTTAAATTGTAAATCTTAAGTAATTCAAAATTAAAATTTTAAATTGCTTCCCCATTTATAGTATGTTATGAAATATGTTTAAAATTAAACTGTAAATAAGGCTTATATATGTTTGAATTCCTGACTTACACTAGCGTGCAAAAGTTTTTGGTCAACACGTGAAAAGCATTTTAATCTTTCTATGAGATTTTTTTTTTGTACAGATGATTTTTGCTTTATTTTGTCAAGCCAACATATATATATATTACACTTGATTTCAGAATTTTTACTTTTTTTGCAATTTAATGGAAAATGTAATCTTCTTTGGATTAAATTTAAATCTTTGCACTCAGTTCAGTTGAATATTTCTTTTTTTATAGTATTCGAATCTTGTAAGAACTAATTCTTCAAAAATAAATGTCAATAATAAATTAAAGTTAAAATCTCGATTTCCGTAAATAAATATGCACAACTTATGCTTATTTGTTAAAGTGTATTTTCATCCAATTCTTAGATGTAAGAAAATTTATTCACGAAAAACAAATATAACCCGACCGATATGAAAATTGCATTTGATTTAAAGTGACTTTCAAAGCGCTAACTTTGCTTTATGGTTTAAAAGCATATTAAAAATGTTTAGGAATAAAATTATACATTATTTATTACATATCCAATCAACCATTTGTAATATTAAGTTTGACCAAAGTGACCACTAGTGTAGAACATAATCACATTTAAAGTATTTCAATTACTGAGCTATTTAAATTCAAATAATACTATAGAAATACTTTTTTATGTCTTGAAATTATGTGTGGGGATTTATTAAATTGTAATTGTTCCACAATTCATTACATTATTTGTGTCACATATCAATAATTCTTCTTTTTCTTATTTATACATATATATATAGTGAAACCTCGGTCAGGTAAACACTCTTGGGACGAAAAATTTTCCATTTACGAGAGTTGTCTGTTTATGAGAAGGGTACCCTAATAACGAAGTTTAACGTCGTAAATTGTTTTTAGAATATTTTCAATGATATAGAAATAAATAAATAATCAACAATAACTATCTACAAGGATATTTAATTAAGCTTTAAAAAAAAAATTATGCAAAGAGAACGTTAACGTATGAAAAAGTTTGATATAAATACATGATTCTAAATGTAGCTACAGATAAATGAATATAATTTTCCTCTTAATACAGATATTCAAGTTAGTCATATGATACCGAATAGAAGCTTTTAGTCCTCAGTCGATTTCAATTATTAGGTTTACATTCTCTAACACCTTGATAAAAAGAAATGTGTTTTATATCACCTTAAAAGTAAACATCCCACGATTCACAGAAGAAAAAAAAGAAAGCAATGCATACCTGTAAGGCAAGAGGACCTATAGAGTTGATGTATTCATAATTGATCATCTACCAAGTGTCTGAATAAATGTTTCATTTATATTAACACCTCAAAGACTATATTTCTGTTCTCTCTCTCTCTCTCTTTTTTTAAAAAAAAAAACCCAGCTGTGTTAAATACAGCCTTCAAATTGATAAGAAAATTAAAGAAATTTCAGATGGGGAAGATACATTGAGAGCATTTAAGACATCATTTCAGCTTGTGGGGGTCTCATAACCTGTGTCGTCCAGATGAAATGATCAAGAGATGCCGCTGTCCGAATTATTTCACAAGAACAGCATCGTTTTCACTCCTTTCTTTGCAGAGATAAGGCAAGTCGACAGGAGAAAGAGTGATTCTTTATTAGTGGCTTAACAATATTTTTAGTTATTGTTAAGATATAAGTACTTTAAAAATGTTAAGAGATAGGGTACAAATGTTAAGAGAAAGATATAAATACGTTAAAATATACATACTTTAAAAATGGTGAAAAGTTGCATTTTTTCTTACAATCAATTTAAAGCTGAAAAGAAAAATTTCTTTTCTTTTTTTTCAACTTTATAAAAATAGTGTCTGGTTTAAAGAGAGAGAAAATAATGTTTCAGGGCAAAGAGAATTATTCACGTCCGGTTAGAGTGTCCACTTTGCGAAGAATATGCATAATGGTTTATTCATAGAAGATTCACGGCAAATAAAAAATATTTCCGTGTTGAGAGGTGTCCGTTTCACAAGAGTGTCCGTAACAGAGATTTCACTATATATGTAGTGAGTGCACCATTACTTTAAATGCTATTTAAAATTATTTGTGAAAAATCAAACTAAAATTCTGTATTTTAAATTCCTGTAAACTGCAATTTTCGTATATAGGAAATTGAAAAAAAAAAGTTTAGGCTACATAGTTTCTTACTTAATGATCATACTTAATTTATGGTAGAGAGTTAAACATACATCTTTATGTGAATGTGTTTGTTTAATGGGGATTATAATTCAATATCATCAATCCTAATTCTTATTTGTTAGTTTAAATTTGACATCCTTTTATTGATGAGAAATCTTTATATTATGTCATGGCTGAATTACATTGTGTGTTTTTTTCCTCTGGTTAGTGTTGAATTGGCCAGGTTTATCCATCTTCCAAGCTTCATCTACTCCTTCCCCTTCACCAGGAATGATGATGAACAATGGATGCAGAGATAATTCACACGATCAGAATGATATTCAAAAACTACAACAGCAATTACAAGATATCAAAGAACAGGTGGGAATACATTTTGGCAAAAAGAAGAAAAAAAATCTTTTTTTTTTAAATAATTATTTTGATTAATTCAAAAAGATTTTTGATGATGTCTAGGAAGAAGGAGATTCAACTGTCTTTACAAGGAACGTTCGCTCCTGTGCCACAGGTCCTGGGTTCGATCCTCGGACCGGCAAGGTTGACTCATGCATGCTTGGGAACTAAACACTGGGGGTTTCGCATTTGGCTGACCACCTAACGGGAACATCTGCTCCTGCACTTCAGAGCCCTAAGTCAAGAAAAATGAGTTGGGCACAGTAGGCCTTGACCCTCTATGGGCTGTCGCACCACTGAGTTTAGTTTATAAGCAACCATGGCATTACGAAATGTATGAAAATTAAAAGAGTGAAATGGGCAGGCAATCTAACAGGGTCACTGGATGAATGTACTTTGAAAAGAATTTTACGGCCTGGCCATCGTGGAATTGACCAAGGAGAAAACTGAAACTTGGATTGTCTGATTTTGTAAATAAGGTACTAACTGTTAAAACAGGTAGAACAGGATAGAAAAGAATCCTCAAGAAGGTCTGGACCCTCTACAGCTGGTTGTGTCAACGATGATGATGATGATAGTTCAAAAAGTCTTTTTAAAAATAAATGATCATAAAACAATACATTTTCATTTAGCACTTGAAGAATTAAAATAACTGTTCATTTCTGGCAATCGAAAACTTAAACAGTCGTGCAAAATAAAGTAGGGTACTGGAAGATTATAAATTGAGAATTTTGAATCAAAACTCATTCTTTTCTTTAAATTTATGTTACTTATCAATATTGTTGGGTTTTACTGCTCCATGACTTATTCAGTTCAATGTGAACTCAATTAAAAAACTATCAGCTCACATTGATTTACTCTTGAAAGTTGTTTCAATCCTTTCACACTGCCACCTCATTGTAGGAAAATTTGTTTGAAAATCAGATTTTTTAAAAAAAATGTTTCATTTTTATAGAAATCTACTTTGATTCATACCACAGGAATAAATTTGGTAAAAAATCTGAAAATGGAAATCTAAAATGTTATTTGCAGAAACTGCTTTTTCAATAATTAAAATTTAGTAATGCCTGAAATTTAAATGAGAAAAAAGTGTGTGGGAAGCATTTATCCACAGAATGTTATCAACGTTTTAATAAAATATTGGTGCGAGATTTTAATTATTTATTTAAATCGTGTGAATATGAATCTCAATGCGGGATTTTTAAATCATGTGAATCTCGACATTTAATTAAAAAGTCACGTGAATATGAATCTCAGTGTTGGATTTTTAACATTGCATGAATCCGAATTTCGATGTTTGATTTTAGAGTCTCTTGAATAGGAATTTCGATGTTTCATTTTAAAATTACGAGAATACGAATTCCGATATATAATGTTTAAGTAATTTGAACATGAATTGTTGTAGCACCTATTAAATCGCATGAATATGAAATGCTCTATTAGACATAAAATTATAAAAAAAAACTAAATAAGATGAGCGATATTAAATCTTATAAATCGGAATGTGTAATTTTAAATCAAGTTTGCATGAGTAGGTTAAAGCGTAAATACCAATGTTTTTTTTTTCCTGGAGAATTTGAAAAGACAAACGTTTTAAAAAGGCAGATTATTTGTTTCTTTTTAGTAATAGTAAAAATTTTCTGCGATGGATGGTGGCACATTTTCCGGAATGGCGTTTGTGCTTTCATGTATATTATGTGGGTCTGACTATATAACTAAATTCAAAAATTTCAGAAAAATGTATTCATTTGCCCTAGATACCAATTTTAACCTAGTGACTGGTGCTGTATAATTATTTCTGGTCCTAGTGCCAATAAACTCCAACCCACCATGTGAAGTTAATTTTAATTTTTTGTATATTTAACTATTATAACTTTGCAGGAATAAGTTAAATAACTAATCAACACTCACCATATGTAGTTTTGGGGCTTTATATATATATATTGTAATAATTCAAAATCTCAATTTTCACTAATTGTTTTAAAAACTAAATGAGTTGAAGTTTGAAATTCTGTGTCATTAATATACTGTTTCGGGAATGCTTTACTCTTTATTATTATTATCAAAAAATAATTAATGATTTACTTTTTATTATTATCATGTAATAATTAATGATAGCTTTACAAAATACATTATAATATTTATTGATAACTTACATTTTTCTCTTTTTCAGACTATGTGCCCAGTATGTTTAGATCGTTTAAAGAACATGATTTTCTTATGTGGTCATGGAACTTGCCAAATGTGCGGAGACAGAATGTCAGAGTGCCCCATCTGCCGTAAAGCTGTTGAAAAACGAATTTTACTATATTAAAACATTCATTTGAATCATAATGTAAAAAATTAAGACACTATTAAAAAATTAAAAACATTTTATAGGTTCTCTTCTAGAATCCAATTTACAAGAGCTGTCATAGAAACTATTTATTCGATACTTATTTTGATAATTGGGTTTATTTTTTTTAATACTTTAAGAGATTTTCTTTTAAATAACATGCATAAGAAATTGCACAAATCTCCTGTAACTTTTTTATGTGTTGTATACTACTGTACAGTGAAATGAATTAACCAAGCTTGTATTTCTATTTGTTAATTTAGATAATGTAGTTTTTATTTGGTACTTTCTCATGAAAATGGCATTAATATATCCATCATCTACTATGTACATGATTTAGAAAAAGTACAGTTGCTTGTGGTCCTTTTCTCTGCAGTTATAATTATATCAATCAGATACTCGCAGCATGTGATGGAGATAATTAATGTTATTGTTGTGGAAGTGAAGTGCCTTTTATTTATCTGTTATAAAGCACTTTTTTTTATTGTTCAAGCATTGCTTGTTTTATTTTTCTCTTTTATTGTGATATTTATTATATTCATATATATTTGTTCATTTCATTGCATTTCATGTGAATACAAAAATTCGTAGAAAATCTATGCTATGTACGCAAATATATTATATTTTGTTTATAATAACTAGACTTAACGATATATTTGTTTCTTATTTGTATTTTAACTATGTTTCAATCGTGTATAGTAAAGCAACATTTATATACATCATTCGAAAGATCCACTGTAAAGTTGTAAATGTAAATAAATCGAAAGAAAAAACTTTTATAATGAGTTAGTAATGATTTAAAATATTTGTACCTGCATTAAAATAAATGGATGTAAATCAACACTGAGCATTCTAAAATAAATTTTGTATGGTGCATCGATTATAAAAGTAAATCATGTTCAGTTATCATTTTAGATGTGTTTCTCATTTAAGAACTATATATATGTTTCTCTTTTAAGGACTATACTGAACTAACTTTTTGGAATTTTAAAAGTTATGTTGGATATTTTAAATAGCTGTTATAGGATTGTAAAAAATTTCCTGTTAATGTTCTGTAAAAACGTGATTTTTCTCATAACTCTGTTAAAGTGTCCTTTGAACACCTCCATTTATAAATTTATGTACAAATCTGATAATAGAACTAACAGAGTAAACCTGAAGTGCCACGATAATAAATCCAAATTTGTTTGTGACTTTGCAGTCAAACAGAGTTTATGATTGTATAAATTCAACTTAATCTAACATGCATACATCAATATACAAATATAAGTTTCTTATACATAAAAAATTTTTTAAGTTGAATTTTATAAAATGATATTTGAAAAGTAGAATAAATTCCTGTAAAGTTGAGCATCTCATCAAATAACATAAAAAAATTTTTACTTTTGGTTCTTTGTGGCATTTTCTTGATTCATCCTTTTAGTTTTATTAGAAACAAGTCTAGAGATGTTTTTAAAAAAAAAGTCTCAGCAATTTTAAGCCTTTTGTTTATTTGCTTTTTAAAAATAAAAAGAAAGTTAAGAGGAATAATCTGCAGATACTGTGATAGTCTGCAGCACCCGCTGCCACTCATGCGGATTTTTATGCTACCAGGTGTATGAATATTTACAGAATAGTACTTGAATATTCTATAATTAATTTTGTAAATGATGCTTTACTCTACTCTAATTTTTGTCATCCAATAATTCAAATAACATTTTCAAAGGTAATAAAATTGTAAATTCATATATAGCATTTCTTTAAGTTACTTATTTTTTTGTTTGTAAATATTGAAAAGAGGAAAAAAATTAATCCTTACGCTCTATTTTTTCTTGTGTAAAAAAACAAAAGTTACAAAAGCAAACTAAGCTTTAGAAAAAAGTTTTGGTTTAGAACATAACTCGAATAAAATTGCATGAAAGGTTTATTTTATATTGCGGAAATATTCTTAACTAGGAGTTTTATGGGAATAAAATAATACTTAAAACTTATGGAAGTTGAAACAATAAAAAATGTTTTCAATAGAAACCCCTACTATAAATTTACTCTTCAGAGAGTTTACATTTTTCAGATAAATGTCTACTACGTCTTGTGTAAACCAAGTGATCTGATCCTCTTTTATTTTGTTTGTTTTCTTCCTCTCCCTTTTGATTTTTTATATTATCACTTGAGTTTGGTATAGTATAGTTGCTTTTTGCTCTTTGTGCCATGAAACTGTGCATTTAATCAGATCATTTGTGAATCAGCAATTTAAAGAAGAAAAAACTTATACTATTTTGTAACAAAAAAAAAAGAATAATCATTTAGTTTTTAGTTATCAGCTGTCTCTTACAACAAACTGGGGCCTACAAACATCATGGAAATAAAAAGTAAGAAATTGTGTTTTCAAAAGGAGGAATTAAAGAAAATTATCATATCTAAATTGTTTTTAGCATTACTTAGCGATTTTAATCGCTTTTGTTATGTAGGTTTACAAATTATAAAATGAAAAAAAAATAGCAAATGTTAACAAATAACAATTTATAAATATTTGGTATTTTTCTTGCAATTGTTTAATTTTGAATAAAATTGAAGGGTTGAGAAAGTAACTTTTCTTTGTGTCTTGTCATTTTTCTGGAAGAAATAATGTGGAAAAAAGATTTTTGAAGTAAATTTGGTTAGTAATTGGCAAGATAGAAATATTTCTTTATTTTTCTGTTGATATTTCTGTTTTTACTAAAGTTTCACAGCTTTGTTCAATATGTATGCATTTTGGCATATAAAAATGTTCCTATATGATACGAAAAACTTTTTAATTTAAGGTTGTAAAAAGGTTTTAAATGAAAAGTCTGAAACATTATGACTATTATGTTTGTAGATTTTTTACGCTTTTTGGTTAAACTTGGTTTATTACCAGCCCTGATTTTAAGGTATCCTGGATTTATGGGAGAAAATTCTTTATAAATCATTAATTTAATATTATAAAACCTGTGCAAAACTCTGTTATAAATTTTACTTGGATTTAACTATGAATTTTTTTACAAGCTTCTGTAAAATTATTTTGTTGAAGTTTCAGATGAAAGTATTCTGCTCTTCATGAAAATTTCTTTTCACAGCATGTTAAGATATCTGACTGGGTTCAACTTAATTTTTTTTAATACAGAATTTATTGAAATTTAAATTTATTTTAGGTAAGCAGAGATCCTAAAATTATAAATCTAAATAGAACTTAAAAAGAAAAAAAAATTATTTTTTAAAATGAGATAAAAACTATACAAATGTGAGCACAAAAACTATAATTTTTTATGTTACACTAACAGCTCTACAACAAATTATAATGCGTGTATATAAAAATAACTCTTTTCGTCAATCAATAACCGATTTTTGAACTAAAATCTTTAAAAAATTTCTAATATACAATGAAATAGAACTAGTTATATTGTTCAATATTGAATTTTTATAGAAATTCTAACGTAAAATACGATAAAAATAATAAATTCACACTTAGACCTTAACTTTTAGTTCAAAACATATCTATCATTACATAAAATCTGTGCATACAAAGTTTCAAAGAATTCTATATTCAACCTCTTTTTGCAACGTTTATTGGCATCAAGAAATGTTCTCAAAAATCAATGTTTTTCTGACAATGCATTTAAAGTATGTAATTGCCAAAAAACAATAAAAATAAGGCAAAACATTTTATATGGCTAAAATGTTTAGAAATCATAACTCATTTTCAATTTATAGAGATTTAAATATTGATATAAAAGTTCAAATATAGACAATAATCAAAATCGCTGGTTTTCACCCAGTCTGATACCTTAAAAGAAAGTTTTAGTCCAAAATGTTCGAAGTTGTATGTATCTTGTCATGAATCAGAAGAAAATAGTTGAATAAGAAGAAATTGTGGATGATGACTCATCGAAGATATTACTACATACACACCATTTATAAATTATACCTTTTGTTGCTATTGTTTAAGCATTATATTCCTAAAAAAAAAAGTTTATGAATCATAAGTCTGCACTATTCAATGCAGTGATGCATCAGTCCGAACGGACCATCCAGAAAGACTTTGTCTCAATCCCTATGTTCTTGTTTTGCATTAGTTTGACTGTGTTACTAAAATTATAAAATACCGTGCATTTTGTGGAAAGCAATTTTAATATTTTGAAAACTTTTCTTTCTCTCAAAATTTATTGCTATTAAAATTTTGAAAGCTTGTTGTGAATAAGCTTATTATATTCAGAATGAACATGAAACTTACATTTATAATATGCTACAAAAAAATGATTTTCCCACATTAAGAAATTTGTATGTGAGTAGGAAAATTCCTTACAATTTTACCCATAGCTCTAAATCTTGGAGGGATAAATCAATGAAATTTATAGTACTTGATAAATAATGTCATTTACCTTAATAAGCTCTGATTTCAAAGCAAGTCTACCAATTAAACATTGTATTTAATTTATATAAAAACATTTTTGAAATATTTAAAGGTTCTTGACCTTAAAAGTTGATCTATTAATAATATCCAAAATTCGAAGCGAGTCATGTGTAATATTCACCTAGTACAAAATTTAAACGTCCTATTTCTTTTTTCGGTCTTGGTAGTTACCTTTGTAAATTTGATGCAAGAGTAAATAAAGCTTTAATAAAATATTGATTAAAAGCAATGTCTTAAAGTGTTTAGCATGAAAATAACAGAATAAGGAAAACTTGATCTAACTTTGGGTTATCTTATGTAATAAAAGTCCTAAAATTGTTCTCGTGTCATGCGTCTTTTCATAATATCCATATGAAAAATAAGTTTTCATAAATATTTTTCCTTTATTCTATAGACAGAAATTAGAGAGAGAAAAAAAAAAAAAATCTTATTTATTTTATGTCTGCAAGTTAATGGAGAACATTCTGCTTTTATGTTAGAAGCTTATTTTTCAAACTGTTGGCCTTAGTTTAACTAAAGCCTATATTGTTAACTAAAGAGTTTAACTAGTTCTACTAAAGTGAATTAGTCTCTCTTTAGTTGAAAATATTTATAACTGCTTGATTTATAGTGCGAACTGAAACCACCAAGATTTGTTTCAATAAAAAATTTTGAGATATTTTACTTAAACACAAATACTTATCCCCAATTATTTATAAGTCCTTTAAGCAAAATAGATTATTTTCTTTTTTTAATATTTTTTATCTAGTCATAGTTTACAAAGTAATATAAGTATGCTTACTATAAGCTTCTGTAGGTGTCATGTTCTTTTCTGAAAATATCTAGATTCTCTTTATAAGGTAATAGTTTTTGCTTGCTTGTTAGAGTACATTCATGAAACCTGTTAATACACCTATTTCACTTTTTCTAATTTGTCTGTAACTTTATATAGTAATAAGTGAAAGTTGTATGAATTTTTTTAAAGTATGTATGTTTGTGACTCTGAGTTGGGGCATCCACATGTTTATAACATTGTTGAGAGATACTTTTCTTTTTCTACTTTGAGAGTATGTATGTGTAACATTTATATGGACCTGCGTCTATGAATAAAGATGTTGACATTTGTTGTAGTGGCTGGCTTGAATTTTTAACGTTTTGCGTTGATCTATTTAAGTTTTATTTACAAAGTAATAAATCTGAAATAAAAGAATGTATTTTTATTTTTCTCATATGAAAAATAACATGCAGTAAAACCTCTCGAGCGAGACCACTCTCTGCTCCACACTAAAATGGACGTGGATCGTTTTTCGGGGTTGCCTCCATTGACTTCAAAATGTTACCGAAGGTACATGATTTTTTGCAAACTATTTTAATTTTAGTTAGTATCATTTCCTTGGTGCAGAAATGCCGTTTGTGCTGGCGTCATGAAAACCTGATCAATGAATAAAATTTAGAGTCAATAAAAATGATCGTTACTGATGTAATTATGAGTAAAAACAAATTTACCTATTATGAATGATAGAACTATTTTAAATAAATGAACAATTATGTTTTTTGAAGTTTGCACTTAATTTTATGTCATAAAAATTAGCTAGCTTTAAAAAATGAGAAAAGGTTTGCTTGTTTTTGAGATATTTAGCTTTTTCTAAAATAACTTATTTTTTCTAATTTAAATGACTCTAAAAATGAATCATTGACAGCATCGTCTTTATTGCACTCTGACTGCAACATGAGGTTGTAGATGTCTGTCAGAGATAATCAAAAAGAGCTCTCTAAATAAGAACCTCACACAAATATTTGTATTCACGGTTTTTTAATCGTACCAATTATAAGCGGTTTCAAAACAGTAGAAGTAAAAAACGAAGGTTCTTTACCATAAACTTTACAATAAGACGGATAGACAAACTGCAGCTGGTTTGTAATTTCAAAAGGAAAATTCTAAAAGTGTAAAAGTATTACAAAGAAAATAACTAACTTATACAATAAGTGAAAGAACAAATAAGCATATTAATATACTGCAAAAGAAAAATGAATAAATAAAAAATTCCAGAATATTCAATGAATTTTTAAATATTAATATAGATTTTGCTCCGATTACTAGAAAAATCACCCTCAACCATTTTCTCGTAATTTTATAACTACTTCAGAAAATAGCTATAGATCATCGTGCAGAGGAATATTTGAGTAATGGTAATCTTGCCAAGACGTGAGGTCACTTACTACATCACCATTATTTAAGTGTTTTAATGGCTTAATATCTCATTATTTGACAACGTACAAATAAATAAATTGAGTTTTTACTTTTTCCGAGGGTTGAAAAAAAGTAAATAACAAAAAAATAACATTTTGGTTACTTGATTAAAAACTTTATTCTCGCTTCAAAAAATTACAACTTCAAAATAATAGTAGACAAGTTTCTTCAGTGCTTTGCTTTCTTTACTAAAAATAATAAATATAAAAAAACAATAGCAAAAGAAAATGTTTTTTTAAATAAATAAATTTTAAAAATCAGAAAATAAGTAATGAGAATCGTATCAGTACTTTCATTATGTTTAATAAAAGGAGACATTTTTTAAAAATAAAAATACTTTTTCTCTCTAAAAATAACAAAAAATATTTTGCAACTGAAAGACATGTAAAGATGTGTAATTGTACATCATGTGCTAAGAAAGATTCATTAAATAAAAGATGTTACATGTAATTTTAATTAAAAGCTGCTATTGAAGTTTTTTTTTTTATAAAAAAATATTACCTACAACTCAGGATTCTAATGTTGAGAGAATAAAACACAATTTATATTTTGGCTAAGCATTAGTAGTTTTAAATAAAGTTACTGTTATCCAGTACCAAGGTTACAACTGCTACTAAGATGTATTTATAAGAATGTATTTTAATCCACAACTTTTCAATACTGGAGCTTATTTTACATGCTTTAAATATGCATAAAAACAGAAAAATACAATGAAAACTGCATTATAAAATATTTTGAAAAGAAAAAAAACTTTTCAGTTTCATTAAATTGTGTTTAGTCTAATGACACTTCTACGAAATTTTTTACTTATAATGGAAGCAAGAAGACATTTTATCCTCAGTGGGCAAATGGTGTCCTCAGTGTGCAAATACAAACACCAAAGTCAGTCTTTTGCAGAGAAAAACTATTACACATATATTATAAGAATGACACACACACAAGAAAGTAGTACAGGAAAAAATGGCTTCCAAACAGTGTGAACATGAATGTGATGAGTTAGATAATCCTTCCTTGAAAAAGTCTTATTACATGAAAAAGATCTCTCTCCAGTATGAACACAAATGTGGTTATTTGGAAGAACTAGTGAAAAACTCTTATAACATATACTACAAGAATTAAGATTTATACTCCAGTATGGACATGACTGTGTTTAGTCAGTTGTCTCAATGAAAACTCTCTGTCAGTCTCTATGAAAAACTCTTTTTTAATATACCGCAAGAATAAGGTTTCTCACCAGTATGAACAGAGCTATGTTCAATCAAATAAAGTTTAGTTGAAAATATCTTATTACATTTACTACAAGAATAAGGCTTCTAATCAGTATGAACATGACTATGTCTAGTCAGTTGACGTCTCTGTGAAAAATTCTTATTACGTACACTACAAGAATAAGGTTTCTCACCAGTATGAACACGACTATGTAGAGTCAGTAGACTTCTTTGTGGAAAGCTCACCTGTATGAACATGACTATGTCGAGTCAGTAGACTTCCTTTAGAAAAACTCTTATTACATACACTGCAAGAATAAGGCTTCTCACCAGTATGAACACGACAGTGTTCAATCAGTTGATCTCTTCGTGAAAAACTCTTATTACATTTACTACAAGAATAAGGTTTCTCACCAGTATGAAGGCGACTATGTTGAGTCAAATGACCTTTAATTGAAAATCTCTTTCTACATACACTACAAGAATAAGGTTTCTCACCAGTATGAACACGACTATGTTCAGTCAAATTAGATCTAGTTGAAAATCTCTTATTACATATACTACAAGAATAAGGCTTCTCACCAGTATGAACACGACTGTGTCCAGTCAAGTGACCTCTTTGTTTAAAACTCTTATTACATATACTACAAGAATAAGGTTTCTCACCAGTATGAACACGATTGTGTTCAGTCAGAGAACTTTTTTGTGTAAAACTCTTATTACATACACTACAAGAATAAGGCTTCTCACCAGTATGAACATGAATGTGTTCAATCAGAGCACTTTTTTGCGTAAAACTCTTATTACATAAACTGCAAGTATAAGGTTTCTCTCCAGTATGAACACGACTGTGTTCAGTCAGAGAACTTTTTTGAGTAAAACTCTTATTACATACACTACAAGAAAAAGGCCTATCACCAGTATGAACACGACAGTGTTCAATCAGATGATCTCTTCGTGAAAAACTCTTATTACATTTACTACAAGAATAAGGTTTCTCACTAGTATGAACACGACTACGTTGAGTCAAACAAGATGTAGTTGAAAATCTCTTACTACAAGAATAAGGCTTCTCACCAGTATGAACGCGAATGTGTTCAGTCAGAGTACTTTTTTGTGTAAAACTCTTATTACATAGACTACAAGAATAAGGTTTCTCTCCAGTATGAGCACGACTGTGTTCAGTCAGAGTTCTTTTTTGAGTAAAACTCTTATTACATACACTACAAGAATACGGTTTCTCACCAGTATGAACACGACTGTGCTCAGTCAGAGTACTTTTTCGTGTAAAACTCTTATTACATACACTACAAGAATAAAGTTTCTCACCAGTATGAACATGACTATGTTGAGTCAAACAAGATCTAGTTGAAAATCTCCTATTACATATACTACAAGAATAAGGTTTCTCACCAGTATGAACACGACTGTGTTCAGTCAGAGTACTTTTTTTTGTAAAACTCTTATTACATACACTACAAGAATAAGGCTTCTCACCAGTATGAACTCGAATGTGTTGAGTCAGAGTACTTTTTTGTGTAAAACTCTTATTACATACACTACAAGAATAAGGCTTCTCACCCATATGAACAAGATTGTGTTTAGTTATAAGATCTCTTTGTGAAAAACTCTTATTACATATATACTACAAAAATAAGATTTTTCATCAGTATGAATTTTGCAGTGTGTCTTGAGACTACTTCTTTTTGAAAAATCTAGTTACATATATTACAAGAATAAGGTTATCTTGCAGGGGGAAAAAAAACACTTTCACAGTACATGATTACTTTTCGGAGAAAAACTTCGTTTGCTCATACTGCACAAACAAAGTTTCTTAACAATGTTAAGACAAATGTCATTTATCTTAAGAAAAATTCTAATTACATGAAATGCAAGAAACACGATTCTTGCTTATATGATCCACCAGTATTGGTCTCTTTGTCAGCTTTAAAAATTAAATCACTGCACTACCAGAATATTGTTGTATAACACGTATTGCAAGAATCATAAGGGTAGATAAATTGTATGTACTTGAGTAAGATCACTTGAATAACAATCATAAATAGCAAGAAATGATCCCCAACTTTTTTTATTCAAAATGAATTTTTTTCTTTTATATTTGAAACAAATAGCTATAATAAGATAATGGAAAAAAAAGGGATATTTCCGTATCGTGATCTGTGACGCCAACAAGATTCGCCAAGGCGCGATTCAACGCAGGCGATCCAGGGAGCACATCAAAGAACAGTCGGCGGGAAGGGGCGGAGCTTCACTAGAGAGGCTGAACAAGAGTCGTCTTTGCTCAAGCGTCATATATCACGTGACTCTTAACATTACACTTTACGTTTACAATGGATTAAACTTATTTCATTATTTATTTATTTATTTTTCCTAGTAATATTTTCTTTTTAAATCGCTCTTATAAATAATACATTTAATAATTATATTCAAATAAATTTTTAAATTATTTACGAAAAATATTTTAATAATAATCAAATTAAAGATTAATTATAAATAGTTTAATGATGTTCCATTAAATTTTTCAATTTTTTAAAAACAAAAAAATAATAAAATTATATATATATATATATATATATTTCACAGGTTTCACTGTATTTATATCCATTTCAAATTGCATTAACTGTACATGGATGAAGACGTTAAAAGGTTGAGTTTTTTTCTTCTTTTAGTTGCATCAATTTCAAAAATAATCATTAAAACCAATATTTAAATAATTGTTGTCACACTGTAAAAAAACTCGGTAAATGTTTAACCAATACTGTACTAAGTTTCTAATTGCACCATAATTTGGTTAAAGGAAAATTTGTTTTATTTAGGTTGCATCATAAATTGGTAAATATGATCGAGAAATACGTTCATGGCGCAATCGATTGCCCCAAACTTTCGTGCTATGAGAGGCACAAGCTTTAATTGTGACCGATAACTTATTTTTTTAACTGTTGACTGATAGGCGATTTTGTTATCGAAGCTTGCTATCATCTCATGCAAGTTGTCTCT